AGTGCTTCCTCTTAAGGAAAAGGCAGGTTTTGAGTTGGAACATGATATATGGTATTTTATTGAATCTAAGATGCCACTGATTGGGAAATGCACCATTATTTTATAGATCAGAAAGAAAGAATATGAATGTCTTAAAATCAATGCTGTCAATATCTGAAAAAGTATTCTGAAGATGCTTTCAGAATATGATAGGCTAGATGATCTAATTATCTGTACTAGTGACAATCTTTTTTTTTTTTTTAAGATTTTATTTATTTATTTGAGAGAGAGAGAATGAGAGATAGCATGAGAGGGAAGAGGGTCAGAGGGAGAAGCAGACTCCCCGCTGAGCAGGGAGCCCGATGCAGGACTCGATCCCGGGACTCCAGGATCATGACCTGAGCCGAAGGCAGTCGCTTAACCAACTGAGCCACCCAGGCGCCCTGTACTAGTGACAATCTTAACATCACTAATAAGGGACCTATGGACAATATAAAATGCATACATACATTGTGAGTAATTCTTGTTTCCATACTTTAACTCAGTCAAGTCTTTAGATCTATCTTCCAGTCTACAGGAAATAGAAGGAATAGAGGAATTGGTTAGACTATACTGTGTGGAAACAGTTAGACATAGCCAGAAGGTGAGACATTCAACAAGAAAATTGGCCTCAGCTTGCCAGTAAGTCGGTGTCTTGGGGAAAACCCGGCAGTAGGGGAGAGACCATTCTGGATTCAAAGAGACTTTTGAGACATAGCAATCAAATGTGAGGTATGATCCTTTATTATATCCTAGAATGAACAAATCATCTGTAAAAGACTTTTTATAATAGGGAAATTTTATTTTATTTTTTTAAAGACTTCATGTATTTATTGACAGTGAGCGAGTACAAGCGTGAGCAGGCGGAGGGTGGGCAGAGGGAGAGGGAGAAGCAGGCCCCCCATGAAGCAGGGAGCCTAACGTGGGGCTCGAGCCCAGGATCATGACCTGAGCTGAAGACAGACGCTTAACTGAGCCACCCAGGTGCCCCAGGGAAATTTTAAATATGAGCATTGTATCAGGTGGTGTTAGCATTATCTTCTTAGGTATGATAATAATGCAATTTTGTGGGGTGCCTGAGTGGCTCAGTTGGTTAAGCGTCTGCCTTCAGCTCAGGTCATGATCCCAGGGTCCTGGGATGGAGCCCCACATCAGGCTCCCTGCTCCGCGGGAGGCCTGCTTCTCCCTCTCTCTCTGCCTGCTACTCTCTGTCTCTGTCAAATAAATAAATAAAATCCTTTTAAAAAAATGCAGTTTTGCGGAAAAATGTCCTCAAATTTTATATGTTACTTTGCTTTTATTCTTAACAGAATACAGTTGACCCTTGAACAACATGGGGTTTGGAGTGCCTACCCTCACCCCCCTGCAGTGGAAAATCCGAGTGTAACTTTTGACTCCCCCAAAACTTAACTACTCATAGCCATGTGTTGACTGGAAAGCTCACCAATAATGTAAACAAAGCTCAACCGAAAACATTAATACATGTTTTGCGTGTTACATCTATTATATACTGTATTCTTACAAAAGCTAGAGAAAAGAAAATGTTATTAGGAAAATCATAAGGAAGAGAAATACATTTACAACACTGTACTGTATTTATGGAAAAATTCACACATAAATGGACCTGTGCAGTTCAAACCTGTGTTCAAGGGTCATCTGTACTCTGAAAATAATGAGGCTCTTCACCAGGTTTCCAATTTTAATTTGGTAGATACACCATACACAGAACAAAATCATGTAAATGTTTTAACAAAGAAATGAGGCCCAGAAGTGTAGTGTGTATGGTATTTAAAAAATGTCAAATTCAGCTGGAATAGTTCTAAAGCAATCAGAAGAATTTTCAGAAACTACAGAACATCTAGCCGGCAAGGACTGTAGATGTCCTCAAATGTCAGGCAATATGTCGCCCTTGTGCTATCACTTTGCACTTCCTAGTAATACGTGTTGCTTATCCATCATGGCTTTCCTTCCTGTTTAGGAAATGGGGCAACTGAAATCAGTGTTTTCTACAGCCACTACCAATTAATAACTTGGTACTTGCTGTGAAACCTATTTTACCACCTCTCAGTCAAACCCATTCATTTTGCAGAGGGGAAGCCGAGGCAGAGTGGTATGGTGGAAGGTTTGAGGACATACATGAGTTAAAAGAGTCGCAGGATTTCTTCAGTGCCAGAGTACCTTATGAGCTAACAGATGTTTAGTGTGAATTTTATTAGTTTCTCAAATAGTTACCATTTTAGAAGTTTGTTTGGAGTTGGGTATTTAGAAGATCCCTTTCGCCATGAAAAGATACTCAGGATCTCAAGAGCAACACACTAAGCCAGTGTAAACCAGAGATTGAAGTTAGAAACAGTATCAAAGGTGAATGCTATTACTGAGTTCCATGTATTGGATATCGTGAATTTAATATTGCATTACTCTGAATTTTCTTTTAAAAAAACGTGTTGAGGGGCGCCTGCGTGGCTCAGTCGTTGAGTGTCTGCCTTTGGCTCAAGTCGTGGTCCCAGGGTCCCGGGATTGAGCCCCGCATCGGGCTCCCTGCTCAGCGGGAAGCCTGCTTCTCCTTCTCCCACTCCCCCTGCTTGTGTTCCCTCTCTTGCTGTCTCTCTCTCTGTCAAATAAATAAATAAAATCTTTTAAAAAATAAAAAAAATATGTTGAGTCTCTAATTTGTTTTACGAACAGTTGGTTTTATATCAGCATTTAAATTGACTTTTTAAAAATTGTTATTCACTTATGTTTAATCTTTAATTCTCCATATGTATTACTTTTACCATCAGAATTACATTTCTTAAAAAAAGATGACTTAGTAGTGAGTTTTCTGGTTTGTGCTGCATTATTGGGATTTGGCAACTCTGGATTTCCTCTTCAGGATTTCCTAGAGCCCCTCAGATGGCAAACAGCTCCTAGCAGTGTAATGTGTTTTATTGTTTAATGACTTTCAAATGAGCTTGATTGTATCCTTTAGCAGATTATTTAGCTGATGCTCATCACTGTGGTAGAGAGTAGACTAGTTGAGAATCAGTGTTTCATTAGATCATTTATATTACAGTCTTATTTTGGGAGAAGATTCATCTTCTGTGAATTCATTTAATCTGTATCAAATGCCAGTGACCCATGGTGGGGGAAAATGTAGAACCACACAGAAGTTTCATTTAGAGTCGGGTTATTAGTTGAGTTCGTTTTCCAGATAGTTTATGAAGGCGTAGCAGTGACAATAGGAACTGCCGCCCTCACGCAGGGTTGTGGTGCTGTGCAAGTGATGTGCTTGTACAACACATGATAACTTAAAAAAATCTTTACAAATGTAAGGCTTTAAAAAAAAAAAATGAACGGGGCCACCTGGGTGGCTCAGTTGGCTGAGCGACTCACCCTTGGTTTTGGCTCAGGTCGTGATCTCATTGGTTGTGGGATCGAGCCCTTCGTGGGGCTCCATACTCAGCGGGGAGTCGGCTTGAAGATTCTCTCCCCGATTCTCCCCCCACTTACTCGTGTGCTTGCTCTCTCAAATAAATAAAATCTTTAAAAAATAAAAAATATATGCACAAAATACAGGATTTCTATAGTGTTTGGTCTCATACTGCCTTTTTTGGGAAAGTTCAGACAGTTGTTTTCATTTTGTTTTGGATTGTAGTGTTAAATGTGGATTTCCTTTTTTTTTTTTTGAAGAGCATGATAGTTTATCTGAAAAAACTGCACTGTATCAATCATGGTGATCATGCACATGATGGCTTTTTGTTGGATATTGACATTATGGTTTTTTTTTTTTTTTTAAAGAATTTGTTTATGAGAGAAAGAGCGAGTGTGCACATGCACGAGCAGGGAGGAGAGGGAGAAGCAGGCTCCCCACTGAGCAGGGAGCCCAATGTGGGGCTCGATCCCAGGATCCTGGGATCATGACCTGAGCCGAAGGCAGATGCTTAACAACTGAGCCACCCAGGCGCCCCATGCTGCTGTTTTTTAAAATGTGGATTTCCTTTACCTGTGTTCTGCCTGTTTGCTTTTTTGGTTCAATTCACATTGTAGTACTAGTCCTTTTATTCTAGTTTTGCTTTTCCAAATAAGTGCTCCTTTTTTATGAATTCTCAGTAGGTGTTAACATTTATCATAATAGTTGTTTATCTTTTGGTAGTATCTGGTGAACAACTGATTCATTCAACAAATGCCATTTTCCCTTATGAGGATTATATAAATATTTTGGTCCATTTTCCCCTATTATTAAGTTATTTAGGTTGTATTTTTCACATCATTAATATTTATTTATGTTCTTATATGTTACTGATACCATAATCATTGGAAATAAAAATTATTCCATCTGCCTAGTTTTGTAGGGTCCATGTGTTGCTTAAAATACTTATTTCAGAAAATGTTTTCCTTTAAACAGTGCTCAGTACATAAGACATAAACCACAAATTTGTTGATTGGTTAATTTTTTAAAGTTAAATTTTACTTGACAAAGTGGCAGTGATGGAAGATATGTGACTAGCCTTATAAGCTTCTTTGCAAATACTAAACATTTTGACAGTTTTGCTTCAGTCTTTTTTTTTTTTTTTTAAAGATTTTATTTATTTATTTGACACACAGAGAGAGCGAGAGAGAGAGAGAGAGAGAGAGAGGAAGAGAGCATAAGCAGGGGGAGCGGCAGGCAGAGGGAGAAGCAGGTTTCCTGCATGAGCAGGGAGCCCGATGTGGGGCTCGATCCCAGGACCCTGGGATCATGACCTGAGCTGAAGGCAGCGGTTTAACCAACTGAGCCACGCAGGCGCCCCACTTCAGTCTTTTATACTAAGGAGAAATACCCCTTTGTAAAAGTTTCACCACCTTTAAATAATTTGAAGTGATAATTTTTCTTTTTTAAAGATGACTCTAGCTTCATATTTCTGCACATCTTAGACATAATTATGCAAATTAGGATTTTGTCATAATTATGTCAATTTTGCTTCATTAGTCATATTTTTTATTAAATATTTGTTCATTTGCAGGTATATTTGCTTACTTAAACTACCATGTTCCTCGCACAAGACGAGAAATCTTGGAGACCCTAATCAAAGGCCTTCAGAGACTGGAGTACAGAGGATATGATTCTGCTGGTATTTCCTTTTAAAAAAATATAAGTTTTGCATGATTCTTGAATCTAAATAAAGAGGTTTTTTGTTTGTTTTAGTTGACTAGATTCTTTAGTAATATCTATTTTGTTTTGAGTAAACCTAAAAACAAGAATTTTTGTCCTTTGTTGTGTTTAAAGGGTTTATACATATAATTTCAATAGTATTACCATTTCTACTACTTCTTAAGGATATCTGCCTTTGTTAAGAATGTTACTGTAAAAACATAAATCACCTGGGGCATTTTCATGGTAGAACACAGTTCTTGAAGGCCTTATTTTATAAATTGTCTTTTTTCTTTCCTGTAATTTCTTTTTCTCCAAGGATTCCCTGATGTTGGCATATACACTTAACCTGAGATTCTTCTACCTTAAATAAATGACAAAGCAAATAAAAATAACTTTTTGTCAACTTTGTGTTCTACTCTGGCTCCTTAACTGTGTCAGGGGTCTCCGCGACCGCCCTTGGTTCTGGTGACTCCTGAGGACGACTGAGCATATAGTGGAACTCATAGCTATGATTTATTACAATAAAAGAATACAAAGCAAAATCAGCAAAGGGAAGAGGTGCATGGGGTGAAGTCTGGAGGATAATGAGTCACAAGCTTCTGAGAGTTCTCTCCTAGTGGAGTGACACAGTGTATGCTTAATTCCCCAGCCAGTTGTGACAATGTGTGTGAAATGTATATCAGAGAAGCTCATTAGTCACTCAGTGCCCATGCTTTTATTGGAGGCCGGTCACACAGACACCCTCTGCCTAATGCGTACCAAAATTCTAGACTCCCAGAATGGAAGCAGATGTTCAGCATAAGCCACATTGTTTGCACAGTTAGGTGCAGTAAGCCATTCTTAATCAGTTAGGTAACCGTCCTGAAATCCCAGACGCCAACCAGGGGCCAACTTTGCAAGCAGACCTGTCTAAGGAAAGTGGTGTCAGGCTTGCTCTGTTAAGTCTTTATTCTTGATATGGCCAATGTAATAGGCATTTATTTTCTGTGACTTTCCTCGGTTAATAGGAAGTGAACTCTTCAGCTTGTTTGTTCTTAAAATTCTCTCCTTCCTTAGCTTCTCTGACAACATATATTCTCTTCCTAACATGCTGATTCTTTTCTGTCTGCTTTGGGGGTTCCTTTTCTTCCACTTTTTGCTTAAATATTAATGTTTTTTCAAGATTGTTTCCTAGGCCCATTTTTCTTACTTTGTATCTTCATGGGTGAGCTCTGACTTCATCAACCTCCTATATGTCGGTGACTTATAACTCACATGAATTTCCCAAGCCACAGACCTTTATTTCCAACTGCTGCTTAGAAATTTCTTCCTGGAGAAACCATGATACTGTAAACTTTGCACATCCAGAACTGAACTGAATACACTCCCCATTCTGTACTTTCTGTGTTCCTTTATTCAGCAATCATTCAACAAGTGAGCCTAGGAGGTATCCCGGACTCAGGCTGCATTCTCACATTGCATCCAGACAGTTCTACCCTCCGTATCACTGATCTCTGTCTTCATCACCACCGTTTGGTTCACGGCCTCCTCATTTTTGCTTGGCTATAGCTAGATCTTTTTTTTTTTTTTTTTTTAAAGATTTGATTTATTTATTTGACAGAGAGAGAGAGATAGAGTAGGAATACAAGCAGGGGGAGTGGGAGAGGGAGAAGCAGGCTTCCAGTGGAGCAGGGATCCCGATGCAGGACTCGATCCCAGGACCCGGGGATCATGACCTGATCTGAAGGCAGACGCTTAATGACTGAGCCACCCAGGTGCCCCTATAGCTAGATCTTTTTTTTTTTTTTTAAAGATTTTATTTATTTGACAGAGACACAGCGAGAGAGGGAACACAAGCAGGGGGAGTGGGAGAGGGAGAAGCAGGCTTCCCGCTGAGCAGGGAGCCCGATGTGAGGCTCGATCCCAGAACTCTGGGATCCTGAGCTGAGCCGAAGGCAGACGCTTAACCGACTGAGCCACCCAGGCGCCCCTAGCTAGATCTTCTGAGAGCTGGTTTCTTCTCTTTCTCCCCTTCAGTCTGTACTCTCTTTCCAAAGAGAGTTTTCGAAACATTTTTGCCATGTGATTTCTTGATTTGAAACTACTCAGTGCTTTTCCAGTACCTTCAGGTCACTTTTTCAAATTTTTTACGAACTTAAGTAGAATTTTGAGAATTGTTTCCTGATGTTCCTTCCTCCTTCCCCTTCTGAAGTGGGTGCTGACCTTCTGTGTTTCTCCATTGTGCTCCGGTTGCCACCCAACTTGTAGGACTTGTTTTTTTTTTTTTTAAACCTGTAGCACTTTTATTATAACTCAAACCCACACTGTATTGTAATTATTTTTTCTCTGTCTTCTGAATAGACTGTTAGAAATTTGAGGGAAACAATGGAGTTATTTTCATTTTTGTTTCTAGCAGCTTTCGTGTTTCTTGACATATGTCAGTAAATGTGAATTGATGAACAAACGAATTAGATGAAAAAATAATTTTTAATTAAAAATTTTGCCTCACGATGATAATCTACGTTTCTAAATCTTGCTTTTCTGCCTCTGGATGATTTAGGTGTGGGAGTTGATGGAGGCAATGACAAGGATTGGGAAGCCAATGCCTGCAAGATACAGCTCATTAAGAAGAAAGGGAAAGTCAAGGCACTGGATGAAGAAGTTCATAGTAATGTACTTAGTTTGAATTTTGTCCCCCCCTCCCCTCCCTTTGCTTCCTTCTCCCTTCCCTACCAAATTCTCTTTCTTCCCATATTTTGGGGTCCATTTTAAGTATAGTGGTATTTAAAGGTGAGGGGAGGGAAGAAAGGTAGTTTTGTTATTGTCTCTACTAGTGTACAATGTACCTTAGTTTCAGAAATGACCATATTAACTAGGGAAGGAAAATAGGTACATTGTGTTCATAGCAAGCTCAGTATCCTAAAATGAAGTAAACACCATTCCTGAGGAAGGACCTTTCATAGGACAAAAGGTATTTTTAGTGGTGCCCTTATTCTAATGTCTTCACTTGGTTGTCTTCACTTTGGAGTAAACTATATGTCCTTTGGACATATAGTCAGTCTAGATGACTGTTTTTAGTAGATCTGATATAATCAGGTAAGTGTCGTGTTTTTCCTTCAGGATTTTCTTCCCTGGCATAAAGTAGTTGTCCAGAGATACACGCTTCATTAAAGAGGATATACTTCTCAGTATTTAGTTCGTAACATTATGCTTATACATTTTAATTTGTCACAGGAAACTTAAAAACAAAAGCTTTGAAGTAAATTGACTGGAAAAAAAAACATTTAAAGCAAATTTTCCACAGGGGCGCCTGGGTGGCTCAGTCAGTTAAATGTCTGATTCTTGGTTTCGGCTCAGGTCGTGATCTTAGGGTCATGAGATCGAGCCCTGCATCAGGCTCCGTGCTGGATGTGGAAACTGCTTAAGATTCTTTCTCTCCCTCTGCCCCTACCCCGCTCTATCTCTCTCTTAAAAAAAAAAAATTTCCACAAAACCCAGGAAACAGTTGTTTTTATGTACCTGCTCAAATGGATGCCACTGTAAGTAATCATGGTAAAGGAGTGCAGGTAGAAGAGGAAAATGATGGACTTAGTCACTTTTTTTTTTTTTCCACATAAGCCGAATGTTTAGCTTTGTAGTACTGGCTGAACATACTTGATCAATACTTATTTTGCATGGATCATGGGTAAGATTAGTTTAGGGATGAGGCAGGCACCCAAATAACTATACCTCAAAAACTGTAGTAAAATATTCGACCTACTGTGTGTACTGCATCCTGTATACCAGGCTGATTATAGTAGTTTCCCTAGGTGAGAATAAACAAGTTGCTTAAGGATTCAGGGGAGAGCTAGTTCTGCTTGGGGTTGGGGTTGGAGAGACTTGGTATACGGAAGGAATGGCTGCTGATTCCATTTGGGCAGTCAAGGTGAGAAGGGAGGATCTCCTGAGGAGAATAGTGCAGGCAAAGATAAGAATAGGGAAGCCAACTTTGGTAGAATGGTGGGTAGTCCTTTTACTCTGCATTGTTGGTAGATGAGTGTGGGAGGCTAGAAGACAGACTGTAACCAGAACCACCATCTTTGCATATCAACATATTGAAATATGCCGCCTCCTGAAGGAAAGTCAGGGAGGGAGTCAAGAAATGGGAACTTGCAGACATTACTGGTGAATTTGTGATAAATCACTTTGAAGAGGAAGCTGGCAGTGTCTAAATGCGAGGTGCTTATACCCTGTGACCCAACGCTTCCATTCTTGGGCATCTACTTGAAAGAAGCTATGGACAAGGAGACATGACAACAAGATTCGTTACAGCAAAATGTAGAAACAGCCTAAATGTCTACCAGTAAGAGAAGGGAGATTAAGAAACACAAAAGAATACTAGTATTTGTGAACACATGTTAGTGTATTAGATGTTTAAAGGCACAGGTGGGCAAGCTCTCCAACTCGAGAATCCCTTGGGGAGGAATGGGATGAGGCCAGGGCATAGGGGAGGCATCAACTGCCTCCTTTTATTTTAGATCTTAGAATCTAAAGCACAAAATGGTTAGATGTTCACATTTGTTAACTCTGGGTGTGGGTATATGGATGTTTGTGGTGTTCACTTTATCACTCCTAGTAAGTTTCAGTGTTTGACCTGTTAAGACTTCCTTTGGAGGAAGTCATCAAAGGAAAGGCTATTAGATTGGTTATTGGTAACTTCTGACTTAGATAGTAATAGCTAACATTTATTGTTGCTTTCTGTGTCCTAGGCACTCTACTAAGTGTCTTACTAGTCCTCAGTATAACCCATGAAGTGGGTATTATCGTCCTCATTTTGCAGATGGGGAGATGGAAACACAGGAGTAAGTACTGTCCAGAGGAAGAGGTGCTGTCATTAGATGGTGTCGGCAGTAAACGCAGTGAAGTTTGGGGACAAAGGAAGGCTGCTATTTGTGACAAAAATTTAAGATTTTTAAAATATTTTATATCATAAGATTTAAAGCATGAGTGGCTATATGTTAACATTGTTATCTCTGGATGTAGGTATTTGAGTGTTTTATTATTGCCTACACATTTAAATATGTTTGAACTTTTTTTTTTTTTTAAAGATTTTATTTATTTATTTGACAGAGAGAGACACAGTGAGAGAGGGAACACAAGCAGGGGGAGTAGGAGAGGGAGAAGCAGGCTTCCCACAGAGCAGGGAGCCCGATGTGGGGCTCGATCCCAGGACCCTGGGATCATGACCTGAGCCAAAGGCAGACCCTTAACGACTGAGCCACCCAGGCGCCCCTATTTTTTTTTTTTTTTTTAAAGAAGGATGACATCTGAGAAAAGGCACGCAGATGTAGGGGTGCATGTGGGGGGAAAGACAGAAGATGCAAATAAGCAAATTACAGAGGGATCACAGCTCAGAACTGTCAAGGCACAGGTAGGAAGTTAGCCTTTATAGCAGTCAAAGGTAAAAGAATAGCGAAGTGCAGCAGTTATATGAGGTGAAGGGAAAAAGCTCAGTAAAGGGGATATTGAGGTACTGTCCAGGTAGGATTGAGGCTTAAGGAGAGAGATGTCATGAGCTGTTGGGAGAATTGAGTGAGCTTTTGGCATAGTGAATAAGGAACATGGGGACATGCTCCTGTGTGGCAACAGTAAAATAAGTTTAGTGATTACCATAAACTTGAAATGGACTCAATTTATAGAATTTTCTAACTCTCTTCAATGTTCTTTGGCAGTTTGTGGGTGGGGAGAAGAGAGGACTGGGTGTGGAAGTTATCTAAAGTTAAGGCTCAACAGAGGGCTTTAGAACAGGGGTAACAGAGTGAATAGGAAGGGTCAAGGATTGGGAGTCATGATAAATCTATAAAACATGAAATATTTGTTAGAAATATGCTTATTGTCATCGTAATGATGTTTTCTTACTAGGCTTTAGATAATTTTGGCAACAGTGAAACAGGTATGATAATTACTGTGAATTTGAATTGGATTCAGTCTGTAGACTCTTGTTACTTTCTTCAGTGTTGCTTGCCAGCATGGCCACGGGGTGGGGGTGGGGGATGGGTGCCTTGATTATAATTAGCCTAATAACAAAGTAGTCAGATGTTTATTGCTTGCATTAGCCTGTTGTGATAAACAGTAATACTTTACTTTTCTGGAGGTTGTTTATCAGGTCACCTTAGTTATTCAGGACACAGTTAAGCCAGGAAAGAATACACTGATGATTTTATCTGTTGGTTGATTGAGCCATCCAACAAAAATTTGAGTAACTGCGCTATATAGCTTATTGCTTGGGATTCAAAGATAATAAGGCAAGCTGCTGCTTTTGTAGAACTTAAATCCTGGTAGAAGCCAGGTTGACACATGTTATAAATGTCACAATAGTACAGCAGAGTATACCATTGTGGTTTTAATTTCTGGCTCTGGAGTCAGCCGGACTTGGGGTCACATCCTATCTCTGCTTCCTATTGGGCCTAGGGCAGGTTCTCTGACCTCTTCGAGCCTCAGTTTCTTTATCTATAAAATGGGGACAAGAGTACCTAACAGAGCATTGTAAAGATTCGGTAACAAAATGATTATTTCTTAAATACTTACTCTGTTCCAACCATTGTGCCAGGCCCTGGTGACACAGTAAGAGAACAAAATAGGCAAACTCTCTGGCCTGATGGAGCTTACTGTCTAGTGAGAGGGCCAGACAACAAACAAATATATAACGTTAGGTAGTGATTAGTGCTATGAAGAGAAAGTGTAGTAGAGGTGACATGTAAGTAGAGAATGCATTATTGTCTGAAGGGGGAAATTTTAGGCAGAGGAACACCCAAGTGCAAAGAGTCTATGTGGGCATGGCCTGTTTATAGCTGAAAGTCTGTGGGCTAGAGCACAGTAAGTGAGGGGGAGAGTGCAGGAGATGAGCTGGAGAGGTGACTGAGGACGAGGTCATGTAGGGTCTTCAGAAAGATGGATTTTACTTCATGTGCCATGTGAAGCCATTGGGAAGATTTTGCATTAGGGGATTGACATGATTTAATGGGATCATTTGGTTAGTGTGCAAAGACTAGATTGTACAGAAGGAAGGTTGGACATTGGGAGACTGGTCAGGATTCTGTTGAAGTAGTTTAGTTAATGGTTGCTTGGGTCATACTGTTAGGGATAGGGCAATGAGAAGTCTTAAGTCCTAGCATCAGGTAAGTTCTCAGTAAATGGTGGGTGTTGTTATTTGCAAAAGGTGTGTTGAGGGCTTTGAGGGGTGATGGGCGAGGTGGGGGAATGAGAATGTAAAGGCAGCTGGGGCCAGATGGTGGAGGGCCTCGTACGCATAGAAAGGCACTGGGACTTTATATTGTGAGAAAATGGCTCTCTGGCTCTATGTGAGAATTTGAGGATCTTTTTATAAATCCCTGTGAGCAGGATTAAGATGATTCATATGGGTAGCTAGGAATGCAAACCACTTTTTAAGCAATGGGCATCTGTTCAAGGATTTTAAGCATTGTGTTTTGATCACATTTGTGTGTTAGAATGATGTCTGATTAGCCAGTATAAAAACCATAAAGACTGTGCTAAAATAAAACACAGGGACTTTCCTATTTGAGATTTCTGAGCAGTTTGCTCTTCTTAATTTAGGCCTAATTCTCATAGGCTTGGTTATTTGGTTTCTTTGCCAAATGAATTTTATATTTAGGAAATCAGAAGGGGGGCATTACTAGTAAATACTAGAACTGCCTTTTTTTTTTTCCTTTGGAAAAAGCAGGAAGAGATAGCTTATAGGGAAAAGGAATCAGAATAGCTGCTTTTCAAGATAAAGGAACATTCTTTATATAACCCCATACTTTCATGGTGTTCTATTCTCAAAGACTATTCTTTGATTTTAGAAGCTCTCCATAATTGCAGTTTATATTGTGAGATATGTTTACATTCACTGAGGACCAAAGAAATTGCAGTCATAAAGTTGTATGGCACTGAGAATGTGAATTTATTTTTACATGTTTAGTTAAAGCAGTACTGATTTTTTTTCAAGGCGGAGATTAAATATAGATTTGAAAAAATCACATTAACTTTTTTTGTCCATAATCCTTCAGTTTGAAAATTATCAAGTCTTCAGAAAAGTGGAAAGAATAGTGCATTAACCACCCATATACTTCATCTAGTTTTACCAGTTGTTAGTACTTTGTCACATTTGCTTTATCTCCCTGGGTGTTATTGGATTCATTTGCCCTAAATATTTGAGCTGCATTAACTCCTGAATCTTTTAATTACTATTTTGAATATGGCTGATCTTCAGTTTCAATAATTGTATATTCCAGGTGAGCAGCACTGTAATAATTATATTTAAATATACCTTCTAGCATTATCTCTACAGCATGATTTAATAATGGAATTTTTCATATTCTTCAGAACAACAGGATATGGACTTGGATATAGAATTTGATGTACACCTTGGAATAGCGCATACCCGTTGGGCAACACATGGAGAACCCAATCCTGTCAATAGCCATCCCCAGCGCTCTGATAAAAATAATGGTATGGACACATTCTACATGCTTTGGAATGATTGTAGAGGGGTCAATAATGGGAGAAGAATGAAGGCTCTTATGCTTTTGTTATTTTAATTTTTTTAATCTGGAAAGTTTCAGACATATTCACAAGTAGAGAGTATGTAGAACCAGATGTGTCTGTCACCCAGCTTTAACATTTGTTAATACATAGTCCGTTATATTTCTCTATACCCCTCCACCCAGATTATTTTGGAAGCTCTCCCTTTGTCTCCTTTTTCCTTGCAAATTACTGTGGTGTTTGTCCTGTAGATTTTCCTACAGTCTAGATCTTGCTAATTGTATGCATCCCATGGTATCATTACCATGTTTTCTCTGTCTCTTCTCTTTACTATAGATTGGTATGGTATTGATTTACATCTGGAGGTATATGATGTTTGGGCATTTTTCTTTTTGCATTATTAGTGGCCATAGATGATCATTGCCAACATTAATTATTTCTTTAGGGGTTTGTAAAATGGTGATAGTCAAATACTCTCATTCCTTTTTCACTTATCTCACATACTTCTATAAAGAGAAACTTCTCCATATCTAACTGCTTAGTTACCTAGACTTAAAGATTATGTACAGGAAAGGCAGGATAAGTGTTTGATTTTTTTTCCCACTTCATTTACCATTTTTCAAAAATGAAATGGTTCTAATGTTCTAAGATGAATGAGTTTCTTTTATTATTATAAACTCATGGATTTAAAATATTGCATTTATATTTTTCAGTTATTTAATCAGAAAAGATGAAAATTATCCCACTACATATGTATTTGATTTTGGAATACTGTTTTAACATCAGTTTATCTGACATGTTAAGAATTGTCTGGACCTCACCTAAGTAAATTTCACTATAAATCTGAATAACTGGTTTTTCTTATTCTTTAACTTCAGTTCTTAAACTCATTTAATGTAAATCAGTTGTTTTAGTTTGAAAGTCTTTTACTTTAAACTTAGGAAATTTTTATGCATAAAAACGAATGAACAAAGAAGTGAGAGTAATAGTTATATAATTCAGCCTTCTTGTTTTGCAAATGAAGAAACAGGCCCAGGAAATTTGCCCCTTTCATGTAGTGACATTGGGTTTAGTAGTTTAGCCACAAATGAAGTTGATGTCTCTAGACCCCAGTTTATTATATTTCCCCTCTATGTCCACGTCCCCAGCAATGTGTGCTTCCACTAAACCACATAAATAATGCTACTGATCTACCCGAGGATAATCTGATAGTGAAAAGTAGAAGATACTTGATTATACTTGGAATTATAACATGTGACAAATTTTTTGACTTGAGAAAAATCTGACAGTACTGGCTATTTATAATGTTTACCAGACCTATAATTTTTTGTCATCAATAATTTTTATCTCTTTTAGAATTTATTGTTATTCACAATGGCATTATCACCAACTACAAAGACTTGAAAAAGTTTTTGGTAAGTAAAGTGACCCAAAAAGACACAGGCTTTGAGAAAGTTCTAATGAAAGCAGTGAAGTGGTTTGTTGAAATGTGCAGCACCATCTAGGTATGATCAAATAATGGTTACAAGGGTATGTGGTTTACTGGACTTGTCTTTGTTGACAGTGAAATAGTTTTGTTTCTTACGTGAATAGGAAATAATTATTGGTTTTATTATAAATGACCCCAAAACTCGAATAAAATTTGAATTTGGGGTGGGGAGGACATCTTTTGCATTGTGAGAGACCTTGTTTATCATTTTTAAAAGATTCTGGGATATATAAGAAGAATTAGGACAGATTAAATGAAGTTTCTCTGCCCTAAATAACCATGTACTATATAGTAATAGTCATAGTGATGACCTTCATGAGTGCCTCTCGGGGCTTTCCAACTGAAATTTCTGCAGCGCTGGAAGCCTGTATCCGTGCTGTCCAATATAGTAGCCAACACCCATATGTGGTTATTGATCTGCTATGACTGAGAAACTAAATTTGAAATTTTATTTCATTTTAATCGGTTTAAATTTTTTATTTTTTTAAATTAAAAAAATTTTTTAAAGATTCTATTTTTATTTATTTTTATTTATTTTTAAAAGATTTTATTTGAGAGAGAGAATGAGAGATAGAGAGCACGAGAGGGAAGAGGGAGAGGGAGGGGAGGGAGAAGCAGACTCCCCGCTGAGCAGGGAGCCCGATGTGGGACTCGATCCCGGGACTCCAGGATCATGACCTAAGCCGAAGGCAGTCGCTTAACCAACTGAGCCACCCAGGCGCCCCTAAAGATTCTATTTTTAAGTAATCTCTACAGCCGATGTGGGGCTCAAACTTACAACCCTGAGAGTAAGAGTCGCATGCTCTACTGACTAAGCCAGCCATGTGCCCCCTAATCAGTTTAAATTTAAATAGCCATATATATGGAGCGCCTGGGTGGCTCAGTCCGTTAAGCGGCTGCTTTCTGCTCAGGTCATGATCTCAGGGTCCTGGGATTGAGCCCTGCGTGGAGCCCCGAGTTGGGTTCCCTGCTCATCAGGGAGTCTGCTTCTCCCTCTACCCTCCCATCCCCCGCCATGTTCTTTCTCTCTCTTGCTCTCTCAAATAAAATCTTTTTTTTTTTTTTAAAGATTTTATTTATTTATTTGACAGAGAATGAGAGAGAGCACGAGAAGGAGGAGGGTCGGAGGGAGAAGCAGACTCCCCGCTGAGCAGGGAGCCCGATGCGGGACTCGATCCCGGGACTCCAGGATCGTGACCTGAGCCGAAGGCAGTCGCTTAACCACCTGAGCCACCCAGGCGCCCTCAAATAAATCTTAAAAAAATAAAAAAAATAGCCACTGTAGCTAATGACTATTGTGTTGGATAGTGCAATTTCATTATCCACAAAAGAATCATTATATTCATTATGGAATTATTGTTTTGTGACTGTTGTGTATTATACTTTAATTATTTAAAATTTTATTAATTTGTATGGGGCATATATATAGATTTATATAATTATAAGTGTATATTCAGAATTACACAAAATACCTCACCATTTTGGGTTCACTATGATTAGATGGTGACTTTAATTTTGAACAATGGGTAATGGGGTATGGTGTTGAAAAAATATTAGAAATTGGTTAGTGAAATTTTTGAGGAAAAAAATTCTATAGAAAAGATTTGGGTATCATGACTATTTCCTTAAATGTGTCAATTTTTTTTTTCCCTTTCTAATTTCAGGAAAGCAAAGGCTATGACTTTGAATCTGAAACAGACACAGAGACAATTGCCAAGCTTGTTAAGTACATGTATGACAATCGGGAAAGTCAAGACATCAGTTTTACTACCTTGGTGGAGAGAGTTATTCAACAATTGGTATTAAACCACACTTTATAATTATTGCTGGTGTTAATCACAAACTCTTAAAATTAAGATAAGCAGAAACTATGCTAATTTCTTAAATATTTTTGGCTTTTATTTCCTATATATATATTATTCAACTTGGATAATTTTGAGAGACTGATTGATTGACCCACTTCCTTCACACACACTTAAAATTCTACTTCTTTCACTATAGTTTAGTATCATGGGAATTAAAAATAATCCAAAATCAAAGAGCTTGTCCAAAAGCTATGTGCACGCACACACACACACACACACAAACCTAAACATACCACCCAAACACGTATACGATAGACACAGTCGGGGTTCATTGCTTTCTTCCTACTCACTCAAGTATTCTTTTCAGTCAGTAACTTAGCACAAGGGTAGCTTCAGTAAAATGCACACTCTTTACTCTGGGATAATGTCTGCATGTCTCTGAGTCAGTATAGTCAACTCCTTGTTTTCCCTTTTGGGGACTTTTCCTTGGCTTCGTAACACTATAGTAAAGTATTTCCCAGCCCAAGAAAAAAATGGCCGCCTTTTTGATCCCATCCCAATTGTCCTAGTTAAAGATTAAAGATACCAAAGATCCACAGAAGTCCAAATGCATTGTGATCTCTGCCCCCATCCCCATTCATAACTCTAGTTTTCCCATTTAAAAGCCCTTCACTTCTTTCTGAAGGTCTAACCCTCACTTCCTCCCTCTACTCAAATCTGATGGTGCCTGCAGCAAATGGATGAGTCAGGAAGATGGAGAAGATAGAGGCCTGTTCCTTCCCTTTACTCAAGGCAGAGTACCGTGCCTTTCCAGCCTTTTCTTCTTTCTGCTCATTATATAACCGAGTCTGAGTTGTCTCCTACCTCGTGTTCCTCTTTTATTCACTCTTGATTGCCTTAGGCCCGGTCCCTGAGGAGGTTGGTTAGAGGAGATGGTATGATATGCATGTTAGTAATTGTGGTTGTGTATATTTTTATCTCCAGTATCAAGGTCAACAAGCATGGAAGTTAGCAGTGGTGTAAAATCACTGGACCGGAGAATAGGTTTTGGATATTGAGCGTGGAATCTTTTCTAATTCTCTCTTCCCTGAATTCTAATGCATAGTATGGGAGATAGAATGTATCTGTTGAGAAATGTGTACAAAATAGTCTGTGAAGCTATCATCTATTGAGTATATTTCAAGAGTGGGCTTGGTTAAAAAGTGTGTCTTGGATACACCAAAGCTCAGGAATAAGTGTCTACCGAAATTTTAGACTTGTTTATAACCTACTGCAAAAGAGCAGCGTGTAAACAAAAAATTTCTGTGCTGAAGCCAATATGTTTTAGGCATTTCACATTTGATAATTGATTATAATAAATCATGCTAATGCATTTTTTTTCCCTCTATAGGAAGGTGCTTTTGCACTGGTATTTAAAAGTGTTCATTTTCCTGGCCAAGCAGTTGGCACAAGGTACATACAAATTTAATAATGACTAATAACTATATGTATTTTGAGGGGCGCCTGGGTGGCTCAGTTGGTTGGGCGACTGCCTTCGGCTTAGGTCATGATCCTGGAGTCCCGGGATCGAGTCCCACATCGGGCTCCCTGCTCAGCGAGGAGCCTTCTTCTCCCTCTGACCCTCCCCCCTCTCATGTACTCTCTCTCGCTCTCTCAAATAAATAAATAAATCTTTAAAAAAAAAAACAACTATATTTTGAAACATCTAAATTATAAGTGTGTTTTCTGTACACAATGATTACCCTTTCACTGTAAAGACTTGCCCTTTCTCAGAGACGCCATGTGAATATATTTATTTTCATATGTTCTTCCTTGTCCGTTTTTCACCACTCTTCCATTTTAACAGAATCCGTTAATAAAGCAAATATATTTTGGCATTTATAATCGGCCTTTTATCTGTAGTGGGACACCATGGTTACTTTGTGAATTTGGATATTGAGTTTTCTCTAGTTTCAGGCCCCCAACATTAACTTTCTCCATATTGTTTGGAAGTATATATTCCAAAAAGATTCCTAGATAATTGTACCATCATTACTTTTGTGAAGCTGTTTAGGCCTGATCTTGATGTCCTTTTTAGTACAACAGTGAGAAGCCCTAATGTTTGGCAGGAAAACTGTTTGTTTGTTTTTTAGAGATTTTATTTATTTATTTGACAGAGACACAGTGAGAGAGGGAACACAAGCAGGGGGAGTGGGAGAGGGAGAAGCAGGCTTCCCGCTGAGCAGGGAG